ACCAGCAGGATGTATCAATTACAGTTCACAAATCCTCTGTTCATACATTCAGAGGCGTCTGAAGCCATGCCACCCAGAAAGAGCAGAGACAAAGAGGTTCAGCCAGCCCAGGCTGAACATGCAAATGATCCCATCACTTTTCTCCCAGTGTCACATTTGGCAAAACGGTCCTATGGCAATCCAATTTTCAAAGAAAGAGATGCAGACCGCAGAGATGACTTTGCTGAATCAAGTAATGTGTTTAGAGGTATGACTGAGCGTCTGGATTTAGCATTCAAAGAACAAAACCAGGCTATGCGGAGACTTGTTGATAGTCAAGCAGAATCCTCCATACATGAGGAAGAGTTAATTAGACAATGTATAGAAGAGATGAGACGGGTCTTTGAAAAAGGCACTAGGGTGATGCGAGAAACTGGGGAAGAAAGTCACAGACCATTGCAGGCTGTTTCAGAACAAGTGGTTGAGCAAGTGCGACAACCCAGACTTGAGATCCTTCCTCCAGTCGTTGAAATGCCCAGACAGATTCAAGAAGCCCCAATCCTAGCACTCGGGGGGCAAGGGAATCAGCTTCATCCCAATATTCAACAGCAGCATTTTGTCATTGGTGAAGGGCAAAGACAACACCAATTGATGGAGGCTGCTACTCCTGTTGCAGACCATGGGCCAACCTTGAGGCCATTGGAAAAGATTGATAAGGGTATCTTGAAATTTCCAGACAAAGCGAAGGAAACCATGGGAGTGGATGCAGACCCTTTTCCAGCTGTGTCTGTCGGCGTGAATGTTGCAGACCTCAGGAGTGTTGCCAGAAATCGCAATCTGCCTTATGCTCAAAGGAACCTTGCTACTGAAGACTTGCGGTGGGTTCTTGAGGCACAGAGATCCAGACATAGCAGGAGCGTCAAGTCAGACCAGCAGAGGCTCGGGGGGCAAGGAAGGATCACTGTGACCAGGAACTTCAGTCCAGAAGGTGCCAAACGTTATTCAACTGGTACTAGATCTCCAAGGATGGTCAAACCGCCACTCAGGTCACCTTCCAGACGGTGGGAAAAAATCAGTCATCCCAAGTTTCCAGCCCAGAATCCCAGAACCTTGAGGCACAGACTGCAGCGCAAGAGGGCTGAAGAGCGAAAAAGACACCAGAAGCAGGTGGAGGCTGAGGACAGTTCCTCTCGCAGACCACGCCAACCTACTAAAAGGAATATGGTCTGGGTGAGAAAAGAGAAAAAGGAGGCTGTAACTCAGACTCTACAAAAGGAGGATGACCAATCTCCAGCCTCTCCAAAGGTGGCGTCTGTCATTGTGAGTCCAGACGGAGTTTTGAAAGCAACTTTTGAAGCACAAGAACAGTCTAGGAATCGTGGAGCTGAATCAAAAGAAGATGGCACTATTCATTT